CCTCTCGTCCGATGAAATGACTTGCTCGCTCTGTGACGCGTTGAATCCAATGTGAGCCAGTTACTCTGAATGCTGCGACGCAGCACCTGAGATTACTTCCAAAAAGTTGTTCACGTTCTCAATTTTTTACGTTTAACGTTATATTTGTTCTGTACACTTCGGTACACACGTGTACCGAACCGAAGGGCCCGTACCGAATAATTTCGGTACGTGTACCGTTACACCCCTAGTAAACTATGCCTCTGAAACATAATTTCAGCCAATCAGCGTCGTCAAATCTGATGATCACCGGGCGCCAATGTCAGCGCCCGGTGCAGGGTTATGGCTAGAAAGGATCCGTCTTGTGTAAAACTCTCGCGAGAGTTTGCGAGTCACGTGGCTGAATGTTTACGTTTGACAGTATGGAGTCAGATTTGGGTCAATATTCTAACGCGTAAAACAAGCTACTCACGAGCGGAAAATGTGCTTTTACACGCGCATAAAATGACCCTCGCGCGCGAGTGGCTCTGCGCCCGCGAGCGGCTCTACGCTCGCTCGCGAGAGAGACAGCCCTCTTGCTCGCTCGCGGGAGTATCAGCCTCGCGGAGTCTGTCTACGCGCGTGTGAAAAGTTTCTGGCACTTTGGGGCGGAGCCACTGGACTTTGATTGACAGCTGCCAGGAAACCCGGAGTTGCCAGGTTTGATAAATGCCTGAACTACCAAGAGCCTAGGAGTGACGGCAGCAAAATCAGTTGGACGAGATAATGGTAAAGTTGTCCATAAAAAAACTATTATATTCGTTAAGTGTACAGCTAATATATATATATATAAATTAATTTTATATAAAACAACATATTTTTGAGTGGGCTGTATCTGTCGATATCTGTAATATTTGTATGCTAGAACTGTTGTATACTTTTTGAAAAATAAAAAATAAATAGCTCACTTGTCATTCATTTTTATCCTTAATTATCCATCCAACACTGAAAAGGTGGTCCTTGTGAAGAATCTCATCACTATATTCCCTCAGCTGAAAGTCATTTACAACAATAGTTTGCTGAAGATTAAGTTTGTTTTAACCAAGGTATAAGGTTTTTAGGTGTGATTTTATGAATTATCTATTCTGTCAAAATTTGATGAATTAGAAAAATATTAATATTTTTAAATGTTAACAATTATTTTCTTAATGACATATTGTGTGAATGAAATCCTTGTAAATAAATGTCCAATGAATGTATTCTTGCATTCGATTTTTTGAATAAAAACCATATCCACCACCTGGTACTTCCAGTAATCGTCATTGACACACAATGTGCAGATATAACACAATCAAATGTTAATTCTGGTTAAAGAAATATAACACAAAATGTGCAGAAATAACAAATGAGTGTGTTCATCTTGGTTACACATTTATGACACACAATGTGTAAAATGTGCACATTGTGTGTTAGGGGCATGTAACACATTTTGTGTGTAAAAATGATTTACACATAAATAAACACAACATGTGTTGGCCCTGAGCACACTCTGTAGGTGTGTTGAAATTCAACACATGTTGTGTCATTTTTGACACATCCCTTCTAAGAGTGTACAGCAGACAGTAGCTAGCAATTTTCGACAGATACAGCCCACTCAAAAATATATTGTTTTATATAAAATTAATTATATATATATATGTATATATATATATATAAAATTAATTTATATATATATATATGTATATATATATATATATATATGTATATATATATATGTGTATATATATATATATATATATGTATATGTATATGTATATATATATATATATATATATATATATAATATTTTAGCTGTACACTTTACGAATATAATAGTTTTTTATGGACAACTTTACCATTCAATCTCGTCCAACTGATTTTGCTGCCGTCACTCCTCGGCTCTTGGTAGTTCAGGCATTTGTCAAACCTGGCAACTCCGGGTTTCCTGGCAGCTGTCAATCAAAGTCCAGTGGCTCCGCCCCAAAGTGTCAGAAACTTTTCACGCGCGCGTAGACAGACTCCGCGAGGCTGATACTCCCGCGAGCGAGCAAGAGGGCTGTCTCAGAGCCGCTCGCGGGGGTTTAATCTGCGCACGAGGGTCATTTTATGCGCGTGTAAAAGCACATTTTCCGCTCGTGAGTAGCTTGTTTTACGCGCTAGAATATTGATCCAAATCTGACTCCATAGACAGGCAGCCTTTCAGTTACGACCGTTAACATCAGTGGGCCATGGCAAATGATGGTGAGAAGCTAAACTATCTATTAATTATGTCAATTACAGGGAGTGTGATTGTAACTGTGTGTGTGGCTAGCTGGATGCAAACAGGTAAACGCTGTCTTTTGTTTCCCATGCTTGCTCTTCAAACAACCGGGGACAGATACTATGTGCCTGTGATAAATAAACACACACACACACACACACACACACACACACACACACACACACACACACACACACACACACACACACACACACACACACACACACACATATAGTTGAGTTTTGACAGCATCCATCAAACTAGATTTGTTGCCTTAATGGTCTGTTTTCTAATATTTCTATGTTTCTGAACCACGTCTGTGTCTGCATATAATGTTCATATTTAGTCTCCTGATTTTAAATGGGAATTAAATCATTTGAGTGTTCCCAAAGAACCGGTGTTCTGCAGTTTGTGTGGGCCTACTGTACTGTTGCACAGTTTACTGTAGAAACTATGTCCAGGACAAGGTATTTGGAAGTTTTGGAAGATTCATAGCTAACCACACTGAAGATTATGGAGGTATTGATCAGTCTTCTCATATCTCTAACATCACCAGAAGTCATAATTTAAGGGGTCATTTCTCAAAATGTTCCCCGTGTGGTTTATTCACCATTACAATAGCCCCACCTAAAATCATTTCCACCAGCCGCCACTGAATGATAGTATATAAAACCATGCTCGTATCTATACAACCTAGAGAAAAGCAAAACGGCATCAATTTAAAGTAATTCTGTCCTTCTGCGTACCGCATCATTTATGACAATACATTTCTTAACAAGGGAACATAATCGAGGGGTGATCAATAACATTTCCGAATTTATTTATTTCTCCAAGTTATGTTTTTGTGTGCACTGAGGAGTCTCAAACATGCGTTTGTTAAATCATTTTAAGATTGGCTTTAATCAATTTGTGAAAATGAATTCTTCATATATGATGAATGAGAGGTAACATTTTATTTATGGTATTATTTCCACATATTTCTCTCCATTCTTCCTTCTGCCAACGGTGTCGCAGTTTCTCGTCTCTCCCGTTTTTATGCGTAGTGTGGGTCAGAGTTTGCGTGGAGGACCGCACATTTCCCCGTCAAGTTTGTTTTTTATAAATCGCAAACATTGCGTAGAAACTGGCGTACGCCATCTTTTGAGCGTACGCACCGTTTATAAATGAGGCCCCAGGTGTTTAACAGTCTTAACTAAACATCCTCTGAAGTCTCGCTGAGTAATATTTGTCATGATGGTGATGTGATGTTCCCCTTACAATTACAAGTCTTGATTCATATTCTGCATAAAAAACAAAGCCTCATGTATTTCCTTTGTATTCCTCATTTCAGTTGTCTTTAACTTCGACCTACGTGACACAGAGTGCTGGTTATTTTACGAACACTAATTCATTTCATACTTCCTGTCAAGATTTTCATATTTCTGGCTTTTACTGCAATAACAATGTTCTACTCACAACACAACATTTTTGTCTGACACAGAAACACCTCACATTAACAGTAGTTGGAGATAATGAATGGCTTTTCGCTAACAGAGTTTCCTAGATCAAAGGCCAATTAGAATTTGAAAGCATTAGCAAGCTGGAAATCTCCATCAATTAAGCTACTGGAAGTTGTTCCTGATGATTTCAGATATGTGTTGTGTGCCGCAGATGGCCGCAGCTACTACTTTTTCAGTTAGCTCTGCCTCTGCTAACTACTCACATGGCTCTTTTTCTTATATGAATAAAGTATCGTTTCTCTCTTTTACGTTAATAATCTTGTTTCTCTGAGTTCTGCTTGGACTGCTGATGAGTTTTAATAACCCACTTCAAGCTGGAGGAAGTAAGTGTAATATCATTATAATGAACTAACTTAAAGGCACAGGTCTGGTTAACTTTGAGATGCCAAGAAGTTTCAAAATGCAAACTATTGTTTTTTGCCCCGCTGGATGGTAAAGAATGAAGAAGCATTCACACACATCTTTACACCCTTGGATCAACTTGAATGTATTACACATCCTGATGTTAATGTAAACTGCTGTTGACCAACACTAAACAAAAGGAGCATGTTATCCCCATTCTGGCCCACTTATTACTTCCTGTACCTTTTCTAAATTGAGGTCAGCACCAAGCCCTCTATGGCATCCTCTTATATGTCTGAACGTATGACCTCTGCACCAGGAAAGCCCAGATCTTCTGATCAGTTTCTCACACACTGCAGGCTCAAAAAACAAAGGGCGCTGTGATTTTACTCTTTTTTTCTCCTACACTTTATTGCCTCCCCCTCTTTCTATGTTTGTTTGTCAGCAGGTGTTCGGAGAAACTTCTGGCACGATGTAATGAAACTTGGTGGAAGATTATGAAAGTTCAAGTGATCATTCCCTCAAGATGGAATAGAGATGATGTTGTTCAAACGCTCTGAGCATAACTTTTTTTGTGGTGCCAATGTTGTTCACACATTACCCTTTAGGCTAGGAAGATGGACTCCTACACCACCTGGATATTGGAGCATGTGAATGCACCATTGCTCCCTGAGTGACGCTGTCGTTTTTCAGTGTTCCCTTCTGAACTGTGAAGGTTGCAGTAACTTCTTTACAATCCCTCCTGGGGGAATCCCACGAGTAAACATATTAACTCATAATAAATCAGCACAAGAACACCTGTAGTGCCCTCTAATTGAGTTTTCCTTGCATACAATCACTTTAGTTTGTTTCTGCCCTCTCACGGAGCCTATTGTTTCTGTCTCTCTCCCGTGTTGATGCAGGTGCAGACTCCCACAGTGATGTGAGTTCAGTCAGCAGCGGTGTGCCCTGGGACAGCAGAGAGACGTCGCTGGCTGCCTCCACAGCCGCCTCCCTGGTATCTTCCCTGCCTCTGAGGGACGTAATGGACGCCAATGATGACATTAAGCACAGGGACGACAGCGAGAGAGGCTCGAACGAGTCTGTGGGCAGCGGCTCGTCCTTTGAAGAGCTTGACATGGATCAGGAGGAGCAGGAGGTGGGAGGAGAGAGGGAGGAGAAGGTAGAGGCGGGGGTCCCTGAGGGTGAAGATGGAGCGAGAGAAGCAGTTGAACTGGTGGCTGAGAAGAAGGAGCCCTTGGGGGATGGCGAGGATGCTGAAGAGATAAGAGAAGATGCCGTGTAACGCTAGAGAGTTTCTCAGTTCTTGCTGGTTATCTGTCATGTAATCTTGTTGGTGGATCTAAAGCTGTTCATGCCATGACCAACATGCCATATTTCTGCGCCTTTAATTCTCTTTCTGATGCCTGTACTTTTTGTTATATTATAATCTCTTCTTCTTCTCTTTTTATCCTCGATCCTATATATGAACTAAAACAGAGAGCCCCATTTGTTGAAGTCTTTTTAAGTAAACCCACATGTCTCAAATGAAATGCAAAGTTCATTTAACCCTGTCTTTCTTTCAGGCCATAATCCGGTGTGAATCCCCTCTATTCCCGATCAGATACAAAGTGAAAATAGAGTTTATTATTAACATAAAAGGAAGGATGCTGATGAACTGGATCATCAAACAGCAAATGTTCCCCGTGTATGACTGTTGATATTGTACCCCACTTTCAAGGTCTTGTCCTAAAGAGTTTTGTCGTAACTTGTTGGTGGGTTACCCACTTTTGGTGTTTTGATATACAGTAACTGTGGGGTGAAAATGTGCAGATTTCTGATGGACCTATGTCAGTGTGTTCTTTTTTTTCCTAATATGGAGAATATCTTTCACACAGGGGGAAATTCTGAAGACCAAAGCATACAAACTTTTATCAACACCAATAACATCACCGAAGCCTCAAAGTCACCAAGCCTAGGATTTTAAAATGCAATTTAGAGATGCAAACTTTTCCCTTTGGATACTGTACAGAACATTTTATTGTCACCCTATGCTCAGATAATTGCTTTTAACATATTGTTCTCTTCTATAGTCGGTCTGTTGAACCACTTTACAGTTCTGTTGTAGCCAAAATGCACTCTCTTCCAGGGACTAGTTGTGATTTGTTTGTAGGTTGTTGGTGCTGAGACATTGGAAGTCATGTAATGCGATGGTGATGTCTTTCTGTCTGTAATAAATAAATCAGATACAAAATTGACAGGAATCCATTGTGCATAGATACATACACTTAAAAGGTTTTACGTTTTTACAAAGCCACATCATTATCTGCTCCGAAGACAATTCTTACCAATTGAATTTCTCTGTATCCCAACTGAGATGAAGCTCTCTAACAAATGGTGTGGGTGACTCATTGTTGTTTAGAAGTTACAGCCCGATCACTTATTAAACTCTAACTTTCAATGTATGATGATTGCCTCTTGCAACTGCTTTTTTCAAAGTGGAATTCAAAAGCTGAATAAAGGAGAAATGTTTCAGAATAAGCCAATAATGGCATTTTTCATCTTTCAGTGCAAGTTGTTAAGCGAAGCTGTTCTTATATTTTCTTGAGTGGCATGCGGGTTCCTTTAGGGGAACACTCTTAAAAAGATGATTACAATATCTCATTGTTTCTGAGTTCTGTCACCCAGGAGCAGCGTTTAAATGAGACGTCTGGCATTTGTGTCGCAGCTTATTTAATCAGCTGTTAAAGAATAGCCTCCAACAGACTATTGATGTTTGATGGGCACACGCGTTCTTTAGCCAGTTAATGAGCATCATGACCTATAAGTTGAAATGTTTTCATTGAAATCCAGCACCATCAGCCAGAGAGAGAAAAACATCCTTCCTGCTCTGGCAAAGGCCATTAATCATAATGGTGGGTATTGGCTTATTACACATACATCATATTGTACTGAAATGTAAAATGTGTTTGAGCTCTTTTTTCTGTCCTAGTTTCAGAATCAGAAACAGGTTTATTACCAAGTAGGTTTACACGTGCGAGGAATTTGACTTGGTGTCATAAAAGTAAAACAAGAATTAAAAACACAGGTAGAGAACTAGAAAAATATTTAAATAGTAAAAAATATAGTAAAATATAACGGTATTTACATTGCAATGCAATGGAATCCAATATGGAATCAAAATCGGCAGTAATAATAATTTAAAAAAGAAAACTGATATTGTTGTACATTGTGTGCATTAAGAAAACAAGACTCATTTAATATGTCCAACACAGTATATCATGTTTGTTATATTCTTATTTAGAAAAATGAAATTATAAACCATTGCCTTATTGTATCCTATTATTTTAAACCCCTAAAATATATGTATGTTACTTAAAAATATAATATTGGTAGGGCTATTGTGTTGGAGAACAAAACCAATAAGATGCCAAATCAAAATAATAGGTTTTTGTTGATACAATCTATGCCAATAAGCAGTAAAGCTGTTGTATGGTGTAGAGCAGCTTATTAAGACACTATTTCATACTCCTAATTTGACCCACCATCTTTACGCTGCTTCGTTATTGCATGCGTCCAATTCAGAAATCAAGCATCTCAGAACAATCTGTAAGAAAATGTACTTACATGGTGCCTTAAATGTTTATTCTAAAATGGAGAAAACAAGTTGTATAATATGTCACCTAACAGTCTCTGGGGGACTTTAGTGATTAGAGTATGAGATTGGTATCCGTACAGCCGAGAGGTGTGATCAGTCTGCAGGGACAGATGCCCTCACCACATGTCTGTTGCACTTTCAGTTTTAATTCCGCCATCACAACCTTTATCCAAAGGCAACAATGAAAATCAGGCTAGAAGAGACTTGCGATGACACACTGGGTCAAAAACTGATTTAATTAATTGTGAAACCCACAGGGATGTCATGCAGCTTTGAGGGCACGGAGATTATTGCCTTCCCATGATGTTAATTATTAATCTCATTACATTGCACGTCGAAAGGGATAGGGGGAGAAGTCTGAACATTAAAATTCAGATGCTCGACCAATGCGTGTCTGAAGCTGCTTTCAGAGGGAAAGGGTCGCAGCTTCCCCTCTTAAAGCCCCCGCGCGCATTGCTGTGCCATCTGGGACTGACCTCACACTCTCCCGCGCCGTGTCACAACTTGTTTGCGGATCCCAAATAAGATTACCGACGCTGAAGATGATCGGTCTCCTAAGAATCGTTATTTTAATACAGTATACCCACCCCCCCCCCCCCCCCCCCCCCCTGACTGCTTGAACAAATAGGGAGCGACTCTTAAAGCGTCTCCACATCCGATCCAACATCTTACAAACAAGAACAAAGCGGCTGAGAGATTTATTTCTGTTTGGATCTGAATTATATAATGCACGTTTGCGAGGAGAGAGACTCAGGACTATTTTTGCTGAGAGCAAATTCGCCTTTGTTCAGGTGTTCAAAGCTTCTGAGAGTTGAGGCTCTCACAGGTTTCTGGCTCATCTGCAGCTAGATCATTTTTGACAATACTCGTGCCAGTTACTGAAGATTTGGCACAGCCTGCTCGCGTAACAGGTAGAATTGATTAGACTTTTCCTAGAATTCCCTTCAAACCGACACTGTCTCGCAGATCTTTTCATGTATTCACAGTTGATGCTCAAGAAAGTGAAACGCATTTTTTTCTCTCCATTAAGTGGGTGTGAGTTACATTTGATTAGGAAATGTGACTTTTAAACGCAGGATCAGACCTCCAGGTATCCGGATACACTCGTCTTTGTGGTTTGTGTGTTTTTTTCTTCTGCTCAGCACCGCGGACAGTTCCTAACACTCGGCTCAGCTGCACGCGGTTCAAACTTCAGGCAGCTACACCCTTCATTCATTCATTCATCTCCACTGTTCACATCCACGCGGGTTTCGGGTTTAACACCTCAACAGGATATGCGTTGGGTTTTCATTGTCCATTCCTCCCACGGCAGCGCTGGAAACTGAAGAACCCTGTTCAGGTAAGAGATGTTGAGTTTGGTCTCGAGAGTGTTATGCTTTTAACGACGTATAGGTGCATTTTTGTGAACTTCTACGAGCTGGTTTCTAGATAATGAAATGTAGTGTATTCAGGTTTGAGGAAATGAGATCACCTTTTATCTTTATAGTCTCTAAAATATATTGTGTCATCTTGAAGTAAAGGGGATGGAGAAATACATTAGTGTGTGATGTGTAATTTCCTGTCAATGCGATAAGTGTTGTAATTGACACTTTTGAAAGGGTTCACCATATAATAAGCACATTATACATCATCTTTGCATACAGCAATGTCTCTTCACTGCAAAAATCATCCACATGTGCGAGCCTGCACACAACAAACAACAGATCTCCGATGTCGCTCATTTGGCAAATCTCCTTGTTTGATAAAAAAAAAAAAAGTGCTAAAGATTGCCAAGAAAGCCGAATTAAAAGCCAAGCAACTTTAAGAATTGGTTTGCTGCTACAGGGTGCCAGAGAGAAGAGGATGATTATCTTGTTGTTTGATTTCTATTGTTCGGGGTCATTTCTTAATTTGACGATGCTGAAAATGTATGAAAATCTATTATTTTTGTATTTTTTTCCTCTTTGAACTAGAGAATAATCTAGATACATATACATACAGATTAACATTATGCTGTTGCACGTTAACACAGGAACAGGGAGATATCGCCTGTGTGCCTATAGATGGAGTGATCCTGTGTTATACGTTATTTATTGTGTCATCAGGAGTTTAAAATAAAATAGATTTTTAAACACACTAGGAATATAAAGGAACACCCTAAGGCGCAAATATGTACAGGCTGTGTCGCTAATCCTGGACAAAGTCATTAAGGGAAGCAGAATGCACTGTCGATGCTTCCTCCAGTCCCAGGGGAATCTGTTCTGCATGTTCAGCAGATAAAAACACAATAAAAAACCCTCATAATGCAGTTCCCCCACCACACAGAGTCACACAGAAAGAAAGTGTTTAAATAAACATTATACATGCATTTATGTTATTTTCCTTACACTATAGAATATGTCAGCATTGTAAATCCTCCTTCTATACGACTTTGAATCTGAAATGATGTTTGAGCCCGGAGCTCACAGCTGAAGATGTTGATTACAGTAAATTATTCAGGTCATGGCTGACTGAAGAAGACTGAGCTCCACTGCAATCATCTGAAGCCAGAAACAAAACAAGTAACAAGCTACAGCTCAGTCCTGATTGCAGTCTTTCTCACCTGTTACTCACTTGATGCTAAGAGTGCTCAGTGCTGTGTAACATGCGGACGGGGATTCCTGTTAATTACTCTGGGTGCTGGAAGAGTTTTGGAACTAACAAAGCAAAATAAATACTCATTAACTTCAAAGAGAAACGACCAACTAACCATTGAGTTTGGAAATGTGCTTAATATGGACTGTATTAGCAACCAGCTGCCCGATGCATCACTCTGGTCCTATCAAAGAGGACAGCTTAATAGCTGTCTCTTCCTTATGGTCTTGTGCTTCCTAAGACATGTGCAGGTGTGGTTACATCTGGATGTCTGCCAGTAACATATCACACAGAGCCCGGTCTCTACAGTTCACCTGAGACTCTTGACATCTGTTTAATAGAGTATTTAAAGTCCCTCTGTCACTGTCACTGTCAATGTAGCTGTTTATTTACTGCTTTGTATTTTGTGAGCTTATCGGATGTGGTACATCTTTACTTTAGTGTCAACAAGAGACAGTTGTTTGGCTGTGAAAAAGACAAAGGTAAAGGGATAAAGAAAAATACAAAATAAAAGAGAACTAGAATGTTCAGAGTGTACATTTCAATTCAATCAACAGATTAAAAAAATAAAAATAACAAATGTGAAAAACAGAATACCGTATTGTTAAAATACAGTATTTATCCACATTCATGGTAATATTTATATATTCAACAAAAAAAGTCTTCATATTAATAATAATAATAAATCATATGTGTCCGAAAGGGAGTAGGAGGAAGCAAATGCTTATTCATTCCCACCCCTTACTTGATCAATGATTGTCCTTTAAATCATTATGCAAGTTATTCCTACATACATTTACATTTATACATACATATACAATCATTTCTCATCTTCAATCACCTTTCTTCATTCTCATAGTTTTCCAAAAAAGTGTTTCTGTACATCCTTTTAAACTGAATTATGCTTGTGCTTTGTTTGAACTCCTGCTCCAAACCATTCCATAAAATCACCCCACAGATTGTTATACTCATACTTCTCAGAGTTGT